GTAATGTTCTTTTTCAAATTTCAATAGAAAGGGTACATGTTGTATTCGCATAAAACGTGCACGTTTTCTATTTGATGTGTTATTCTATTCGAGAAAATTGGACACACATCATTTCGATTTCAAAATGTTCACGACTTAAGGGTCGTGGTCTCTTCGGCCACATACACCGTTTCGATTTTGAAATCTTCAACTCAAAAATTGCAGCCTCCTCGACCTCCTACAGGCAGTTACCAGTCCTCCTCATGCCATGTCCCTTGCTAAGCCCTCACCTCAAAATTGCCCACCCTCCCGAATGATCACCGACGTTGAAAGTTGAATTGACCTTGAAGATCTCAAGTACATAAAACGCAAACCTTATGGGTTGTGAACGTTGCACTTCCTGCCATTGTCCCTGACTAGTCATCCAAAAACGGTCCTGAACAGCAAAGAGGTTTTCGATACTAGCTAACAGCATCTTGCCTTCTGTTGTAATCGAAGCCAGTTGGTTGTCCTTGGCCCAAGTTTTCGAAACTAGAGTCGATCCGAACCTTGATGAGACGAACATTTCTTTCAGTCCATTGGAATCATCATTACTCTTATATTCGCCCGAATTTATTGTTGTTGCCACAATGTTTCTTGCCCTTCGGATTTCCTAATATTATGACACATTTGCAAACCAATGCCACATTACCCCACCCCTCTGAGAATTTTAGATTAGGTCCCAGAATAATCTCATACAACACCTACTCATCTGACCATTCAAACGATTCTTGGTAATACGAGACTAGCGATCGGACCACCAGAGTTATATTTTGTCCACGAAAGGGCAATCGGCCCAGAGGTGGGAGTGAAATTCCCACCCCCAGTCACATCACCTTCAAGTGATGGTGACGTTCATGCCTCTCGAGTTGCGCCAAAATGTCCTCAGCACAACCAACAAGGATTGTGACCAAAGTTGACTGACATCTATTTGTGATGGGATGTGCCCGTCAATCTGGAGGTAGACCCGACTCCGCTTTCAACTTCCCAAACCTTCTGGATGTTTATGGTTGAATGCAAACTTTTTGCCCTATCTTTCACTGAGTAGCGGCTGATCGGGGTACTTTGAGCAGACCCCTGGGTACCGTTCTTCCATCTCAGGAGCATAGGTTCAATTTTGAAGTCATCTGCATTACCCAACAGAAATGTATACTTGTCATAGATTTGAACTTGCATTTCTGTGAGGCCAATCATAGATGGTATGCTGGTGCTTTGTAAATGTGTCAAAGGTCAGCCTTTATTGGTTTTGACCGCGGCTATATAAGAACAGAACGCAAGAGTTCTATTCATCGGACCACCGTGCGGTAATTGTTTTCTGACAACGGGTGGAGCACGGTGTGTTCCGGTTTTGCGATCGACAGGTTTGAGCCTGGTGGTGGACAACATGGACTTCTTCGTCGACTGGGACCTGGAGGTGGGGCAACATGACTTAGAGGAAGTGGTAACGACCCCGATGAACGGCACCCCCTTGATTTTGCCTTCTCGCCCCTGCGCATAGGCGCACCAAGGTCGAGCGTCATGCAGACCGCCTCCATCTACCCCGCCGAACCTGGTCTGCCTCGCCCATCCCTCTTCGCACAAAACACGGCTTTCTTACTTTTCCTCCTCCTCTCGCTGCTTTCGAATCTCGCCATAGCTGGCGCGCTCTTTGCTGCATGCCTTTCTAAGCAAGTCTTTCTTCGCGTTTCCACTAGGCGCTTCGCGGTGCTGATGGCGGGCACCATTTGATTCATTTCTCTTCTTCTCGCATGTTGCTGCTGCCTCTTTTTTTAGATCGGCGCCGCGCGAAGACATACGGATTAACTGATGGAGATAGCAAGGAGCGGAGGCAATGGAGCATAGATCGGCGACCGAGATTTCATCATGCGCCTTTTTGGCGTTCCTCTCCTTCCTCTCGTTCGTCTATTTCATCCACTCCCTTCCCCATCCCTTGCCGCATGGACCCCCCTCCCCCCTCTTCCCCTCCACAAACCTTGCCCCTCGCCCACATAACCATCCATCATCCTTGTTTCAACACCCCCCCCCTCGCCCCCCTTCGACCCCCTTGCCTTCCAAAGATCATGGAAGATGTCCCCCCCTCTGATGACGCCCCACGTGGCATGGGGCAGAAAAGCGCTTTAGGGAGCTGCCACGCCCTCCCCTCAATTCGGCGAGATGATCCGCACAGATACAGGGCGTGCGAGATCTGGAGGAAAGAGCTGAAGCGGGGTTTACCCCTTCCCCTATCCCCCTTCCCCATTTCCCTTTCTGGCCCATCCCCCCTTCTCGCCTAGTATGAAACCACGTTGACGATGGACAACGAAGGTTTGAGGTGTGCAATATAGTTGGTTGTTTTTTCAAGCTTATACATCATTTCGCTTGAACTTTTCTCCATGGTTTTTGTCCTAAGGACTGACCTCTCTCTCCCTGAAATACTTGCATTATTATGCATCTTCCTCCCTCTTCCGATTCAAAATGAGCAGTGTTTATCCTCTCTTCTCTTCTCTTCTCCCTTCCACCTTCCTTTCCTTCTTCCTCTCCTTCTCCTTCTCTCTCTCCCTCTTGGTTCGTCCTTTTTTTTTTTTTTT